CAAGTTCAGATCTGTTGTTCTCAGGTCTTATGAATCATAGCATGTAACCACATTTAACAAACAAACAAAGCCCCAGCATGTGGAGGAGGCCTAAACGAAAAATTTTAAAAAAAGACAAAGCAAACAAATTAGAAAAGAAATTCAATTAAAAGACTTGTGTATAAAGAAAGGGTGAAATAGTATCACAGAGGGGAGTGAAATGGCCCCATCTTTAAATATACTGATTGTTGTTTTATTCATGAAAAGGTATGGAGACAGGATGCATCCCTGATACACTGTTTTCCTGCTTTTGAACCAGGCAGTGTTTCTTTGCTCTGTTTTGAGGACTGCTTCCTGGTCTGGGTATAGGCTTCATATGAGCACAGTCAGGTGTTCTGAGATCCCCATTGTCTTCAAGGTTAGCCCCAATTTGTTGTGATCCACACAGTCAAATGCCTTTGTATAGTCAGTGAAACACAGATATTCTTCTGATACTCTGCTTTCTGGCAAGATCCATCTGACATTGTTGATAATGTCTCTCGTGCCATGACTTCTGCTAAACTCAGCTTGTGTGCTGGTAGTTCTCTGTTGATACATGGTTCCTGTCGTTTTTGGATAATCTTCAGCAGGATTTTTCTAATGTGTGATATTAGTGATGCTGTTTGATAATTTCCACACTCTGTTGGGTCACCTTTTTTTGGAATAGAAATAAATAGGGATCTCTTCCAGTCAGTTGGTCAGGTGGTTGTCCCTCAAATTTCTTGGCACAACTTGGTGAGCACATCCAGGTCAGACAAAGGTATGCTTGATCTGGGCCATTCATCAGAAAGCTGGACAGTGGCTAAGGATGACAGAGAATAATCTTTGCATTGTGGTGCTGGAGAATAGGCTTTTAAAAATTTTTTTATACTAGTTTATCTACATAATTCTAATACATTGTTTTTGAGTACAGATTCTTCCAATTTCCCTCTCCCCCCATCAAATTGTACAACTCCATGATTAATCTCTGCTCCCCTGCCCATCTTCATTTCTCTGCTTCCACCCCCCCTCCACCCGCTTGCATCCTTATACTCATTCTACAGTAATGGTTTTGTACAATAATTGTCCTTATGGGACTGAGTTATTCACTCAGCATAATGTTGGAGACTAGTCTTGAAATATACCATTGACCACCAAGAAAACAAATGGAGAGGGTGAAACCTTGGAGTTTCTCCTTGGAGGCTAGGATTTTGAAGCTCCGTCTTGCATACTTAGGACACATGGCCAAGAGAGACCATTCCTTGGTACATAACAACAACAACATTTCATTCATAGATGAAAGCACTTTGATTGCTTATCTGACCATGGACCATGGAGGTACTTTTAGCTCTAGACTCAAAAGAGATTCCACGTATATGGTTAAGGAACTTAGACCTTTCACTGCACTCTTGATGCTTTAGCTTCCAGAGTTCTCTTACATGGTAGCAATCAGTGGACCCCAGCACGTTGCAATATGTGACACCCTTCTGTTGAGGCAGATGCACTATTTCTGGAAAAGGTTTTTCACTGTTGTGGAGCCCCAGGCAGCTTTGGGAACTGATGGACTAATAGTTATAAACTGGCTCGTGTGCAGGTCCCCAGTAGGTTCTGGAAGTAAGAGTGGTGAGCAGGGCTGTCCGGGCAGCTGACTGCTTCTGACTGGCCCTCTCATCAGCCCACCCCTGCCTCTCTCCCCAGATGGTCACGCTAGCATCACTACTGAGCAATGAAGTTAACAAATGTTTTAATTTCACTGCTGAGTAGTTCTGCAGAGGGGGAGACAGCAGTGGGATAATGAGAAGCGGATCAGATGCCACCATTGATGAAAGTTTCTCTTCCCCACTGGCTCAAATAGTAATGCTACACAAATTGGATACTGAGAGAGAGATGGATGTGCGATATTTAGAGAGCTTCAGGTGGGAAAAATGGGGTGGGGGGAACCCCAGCACTGGTCAAGAATAGAATGACATAATTCAATTAAGATGAAAAAGAAAAAAGAAAAAAACCAAAGTGAAAATTAAAATAACAACAAACCTCAGACAAAACATGTTAACTAAAGGTATTATCAATAGTTGCCTATTGTTATATAACAAAAATCAGCAGCTTAAAACAACAAACATTTGGTATCTGAGGTTTTGTGGGTTAGAATCTGGGTGTGGCTCCGCTTCTCCTGTGGCTCAGGGTCCCTTCCAAGGCTGCAATCCAGACGTCAGCCAGCCGTGCAGTCACCTCGAGGTTCAACTATGAAAGTTTCTCCTTCTAAGAGCACTCACAGGCCTATTAGCAGGCTTCAGAAGATCCACGTCCAAGTATCCTCACTGGTAGCTGGCCAGAGACGTTAAGTCCCTCACCGTGTAGTGTCTCTGTCGGGCAGCTTACGGCACGACATGGCAGCTTGCATCCTCTAGAACCAGGGTTGAGAGAGAGGGGAAATATATCTACAGTCATTATGTAACCTGCCTTTGGAAGTGGCATCCAGTTGCTGTCCCTGTATTTTCTTCCATGGAAGTATGTGATTATGTCTAGCCCACAGGCTTGAAAACCAGGAGGCAGGGGTCATTGGAGGCCAGTTTAAAGGTTGCCCACCACAGGGTTCCTCCTGCTTTCAGAGGAAAGATAGTCTAAAGAGATCATAGAGCAGCTGACAGCAAAAGCACAAAAAGTTGGATTAATGTGACCAAAGGGCATTGAGCATTTAATGAGTTTCTTTATGTCTTTTATTTATTAATTTTAAAATAGAATTTCCTTAGCTTCATGCAAAGGAATTCCGGTGGCATAATGCATTGCATGTTACACTGCTATCAGAAAGGTCAGTGGTTCAAATCCACCAGCTGCTCCCAGGGAAAAAGGATGGGCAGTTTCTTCCCATAGAGATTTATGGCCTTACAGCTGTAGAAATCAAGGAAGGGTTGCACTGAGTCGGCATTGACACAGCAGGAGTGGGTGTGACTGTGGCTTGTGGGAGTTACTTATTCCCGTGAGATTTTAATGTCAGTTACAACACTGTTGTACCTGAGTTTCCCTTAGCTTTAGATGCCTTTCTGTGATCAGGAAACCAATTAAAACAAAGCCAAAGAACACAGAGGTCTAGCTCATTTGTTAATTCTTATTAATTTAGGAGGGGAGACAAGAGAACATCTCTCCAAAGAAGAACTGTAAATGCATGATTACTTCCAGAAGTTATCATGAACATCTATATAGCTGGATTTTGTAATAACTGGAATTTATGAGATTGTTGTGTGTATGTGTGTCAGTGTGTCAAATGTTAACTTTTTACTCTGTGAAGACTTTCTTATGAGAAAGCATTTTGGTGGCAGTTTGTAGAATTTTATAGTATTGCCACTAAAAAAAACATCAAATGTATGTTGTTGTTTGCAAAGTAGGAATATAAAGATCTTACAGAAAACTTACTGCTGTCAAGTCATTTTTCACTCACAGTGACCCTCTGTAGGGTTTCTGAGGCTGTGAATTTTATGGGAAGGAACTGCCTATGTTTTTTCTTCGTAACAGCTGGTGGGTCAGAACTTCTTAGCAGCACATAAGATAACACACTGCACTACACAAATTAAGTTAAGATTCACATTTCAAATATTTTCAAATTCATTCCTATTACAGTGTTATTGTTGTTATGTGTCATCAAGTCACCTGCAACTCATAGTGACGCTATTACAATAGAAGTATGAAATCTGCTTTCTTCGCATTTGTGTGAGATGTTCTGTCAGACCAAAGAAAGGAACACAGGTTGGGTGGATTTCACCACTGGGGTTGCCAATGTGCGCTCCGTATACGTTTAAGAGAGGCCAGTAGTGAAGTGGGTTTAGGCGTGTGGCCCTTTTGGAGGTAAAGACATAGCTAGCAGAAACCATATGGTTCGAGCTTGAACCCGAGAGCTCAGAATTCAAGAGAATCTTTGAAGGGTTATCTGAATACAAATGTTATCTATTCTTGGGAGAGAGCTTTTCAAGAGGGGAAGTATGAAGAAAAAAGTATTAAAATTGAGCCACTCGTAAGTCCTAATTATAGTTATGAGTTTAGAAGAAGAACTAATGAGGACGTTGAAAGAGATTAGTCAGAATGATGAGTTCTCATTCAACATGCCATAGCATTGCTGAAATCGGAGGAGAGTAACAATCGAGACAAGAACTCCAAAAGAAAGGTCAGGTGGCTTAAGGTTAGAGGTGAAACATGTTGTGGAAGCAGTATTAGGCAGGTGTTTTAAAAGCAACAACAAAACACTGAGAAGGAACTTTGAAGCCCCTCCAGATTAGAAAGAATCATTAGCACAAGATAATTGATATGTGTTCTCATACCTGGCACCTACAAGCCAACACATTGTTAGCCTAAATTGAGTTACAGAATATATCTAAAAGTAATAAGACCTCATTTCTTTCATTCATAATGTAAATGATTTAAAGTGTTCCTTCTTTTTAAATTCTGAGGTTTTAATTGCATTCTCAAATAATAAAATGACAGTTCACACAATTTGAAATTCAGATATCGTTGCCCAAGAAACATTCAGAATGTCATAAGATTCAGAAAAGTTATAATTAGGTAAGAAGTACATCTAATTGCGTTGGTTAAAAATTTAGTGAACACCTACTTTGTGCCAGGCTAAGCTAGTTGCCGAGGGCACAGTACTGTAGAAATGATCCCTGTCCTTAAGGAGTCTAAAAATTCTCTTTTAAACTAGTAAGGGGGTGTGGGGAATGTTACAGTATGTTGTATACAGCATTAAAAGTAGTAAAGAGGAAGAAAGCATGGCTGGAAGGCCTCCTGTAAGAGGTAGACCCTGAAGTCCTCAGAGAACAGGAATGGAAGCATGCAACAGCAGGGCTCTATGGCTACCACAGGGCACTGCTGGGGAAGAAGTGTGGTGGGGAGGAACTGCTAAGAGGTAGGCAGGGTCAAATGTTGAGGGTCTTGCTTGCCAAATCCAAAGAGCATGTGATTCTTGGGGCAGACTAATATCTCTCTCTCTCTCTCTCTCTCTCTCTCATCCACAGATAATGATGAAATGTCTTGAGACTAAAGAAGGACATTCAGCATTCCAGAGAATCCTGAGTAAAGTAAGAGATGAGAGCTTGGATGTCCAGACTGTTGTATCCCTGTTGAGGCTGTACCAAGATTCTAATCCTGCAGTAAAAACAGCCCTATTCGGTCGAAAGCTGCAAGATGGAAGAGCAGTGCAGCCAAAAGGTAGGAAGAAACCTCATCCACCTGGATGACTGAGTTCTGTCCTGAGAAGATGCTGTGAAGTTCATCCAATAAGAGACTGACATGATGGCTTAGTCTGTCTCCTGGTTCTCACACAAGTTCTGTGTGTAATTCCAAAGGCTGCATGTTAAATATATACAAACTAAATTTGAGTCTCTATCTCCATCCCCTAGTTAACTAGTCTGGCCCCTCAAAGTTAGAGAATACCAGCTCTTGTTCTCTTGCCCTTGAATCCAAATCAATGACCGAGTGCCCAGGGTGAGGTGGTTCGCTGACAGCACTTAAAGGCTGGAGTTTCTCTCATTTGGGTTAGGTACAAAGCAGTGGCCTTGCCAACCAGAAGTTAACCTCTGGCTGGCTCTGCAGCTTTGTGTTTCGACAGATAAATGAAACATTTTTCCTTTCATAGAGTTTAAACAGAATAATAAAGTATTTTCCTCTGCTAAAAGAGAGTCTACATTTGGGTGCACAGAATAAGCTGAGAATCACTTTGCTATTCTGTTAGATCTCTCTCGACAAACCATGCTGTCATTTTCTTCAAATTGACTAGCTTCTCCTGTGCGTCTCTAACTCTTTCTCCCCCAGGGAGCAGAGAGGAGGGAAAGACCTTGTCTCTTCTGTTACTTGAACACAAAGAGGACCTGATACAGTGTGTAACACAGCTGAGACCTATGGTGGAGCTCCTGGAAACAGCCAAGGAAGAATTCCTGACTGGTGCTGAGAAGAGGGTAACTGTGTCGAGCATTTCTTCCCCCTTCTGAACTCATGCAGCTCTTCTTTTTTTCTTAAAAAAAGCCATCTTTTCTGGCACATAGCACTTTTCACCTTGCAGTATTTTTATCCATACTGCATAGTAAGCACCTTGAAGTTAGGGTTCTTGTTCATGCTTCTTTGTATCCCTTGCAGCAGCGTGCTGAGGGCTTTGCACACTGTAGCCATACAGTAAATGTTTGGACAGAGGGATGGATAAATGCGTAACCAGGTGATAGTCCTGCTCTGACTCAGTCTGTTTTTATTATGAAACAGCTTGGGCCAAGAGTTAAAGTGTTAAAGACTTGTCTGTAATTCTTATAACACGTATTCTTTTTTTAAAAAAAATGGCACACACTGGACATCCTGAGAAAATGAGGAAAACTTTCAAGCCTCTTGCAGCCTCACCACTGAGAGGTGGCCACAGCTAATGTGTTGGAGCAAGGCTTCCATTCTTCCTTATTTATATCATCCTAAGATAGAGCTTTCTGAAACATGTAATTTCGTGACTTGGTTTTTTATTTCATACATTGTGAATGTCTTTTGCTGCCTATATTCTAGATTTGTAGCAGGTTTATATTCTCACTAATGACTGTCATAATTTTTTCTTGATTGTTGAGCATTTGTTTCCAAATTTTTGCTATTATCAATCACATTAAAGAATACATGCTAGCACACAAATCCTTTTTTTATTCTTTAGCACACAAATATTTATGTATTTTTCAAATTGTTACTTTAGAATACTTTCTAAAAGTAAAAGTTTGGGATGGAGAGTATAAAGATTTTCTAGTGTTTGGTGTGTATTGCCAAATTGTCCTTCAAGAAGGTTGTACCAATTTGGTCTCCCACCAGCTCTCTACTAAAGTCCCTGAAAACTGCTGGCATGACTTCTCAAGGCAACTGGATAACTGTATTTGTTGGTGTTATTGATTTCAACTTTGTACTAAAAATATTTTTATATCTGTAAGGAAGGAGCAGGGATAGAGAACTTTCACAGCATCAGTTCTTCAAACTCAAGGAAGTGGCTTAAATGTTCAGGAGAGAAAATGTTTTGAAACCACTGGTATAATGGCCCAGCACTGGGTGGATAGGAAGAACTAGATCCTAGAATATTTTTTCCCTGAGTGATGTTAATTGCTTTATTTTTTTCCCCTCTTAAAAAATGCTTCTCCCCCCAGAAAAAACTTTCCACTCCCCTAATAAAATTTCAAAGTTGCATTTTGCAAGTTAATTATGTTTTTAAAATTTGAAGTACTTTGAACTGATTAGAGAAAGATAAAATAAGATTAAACCTCTGTTTTCTTCCTGGTCTTCAAATTACATATAATTTCAGGCTCTTCTATAGCTCAGATTCGAGGTGTACCTGATTCCCTGTTTAGTTATTTCATTGCATTACTCATTCAGACCTTTTCCTTATTAGCCAGATTGTGTCCTTTGCACTGTTTCATTATCTTGGCAAAATAGCATTTATACATGGAACTCAAACTAAGCCTCATTCTCTGCAGTAAGACAGACCACACTGTCATTTTCTTCTGTCACTTTCAGTTTACTTGACAGAAAGGGCTGAAGCAGAAAACCTCAAATTAGTTATAAATTACAGAAACACTTCTTAAGATTGGGGTTCCATGAGAGCTTCATTAAACTACTCTTTGCTAAAATTGAAGCAAAATAATAAAGTGGGAGCATAGAGGTGAATGTCAATTCAGTAACCACTGTGTTAATGTCATGTAGAGCACGCACCCACGCCCTTTAGAACTTTTTTCTATTATGGAATGATGCTAATCCTGGCTCTCTGGCTCTTTTCTGTAAATCCTGAATTCTATAAGAAGCAGTAACTAGGAATGTCTTTAAGATTGGAAACAGTTATAAAAATAATAATTCTAGCTGCTGGGGAGTTTCTTATTGCTGACTGTGTGCCAAGCAATGTGTTGAAGATATTTTAAACATTACTGAATTTAATCCTCACAGCAACTTTATGAACATAACCTTAATTTTTAAAATGAGGAAACAGGCGTTTAAGCAATTTACCGACAGCCTCACTGTCGCTTTGGCTGGGGCCAGTCCTGGGACCCAGGCTTCTTTCTACAAAGCACATTCTCTTAATCCTTGTGCATGCCCATCCAAACTGACTACCAGTCAGCTGACTCCGACTTGCAGGAGCCCTGCACAGGAGAGCAGGACTGCCTGCAGGGCTCTCAGTGCTGTAAGTCTGCAGAAGCAACTGACCACAGCTTGTTCCCACCCAGGGCCTGGTGAGTTCATATCGTCCACTTTTAGGTTACAGGTGAGCACTTAACCACTGCACCACCAAGGTTTCTGCTATCTCTACGGCCTCTTCATAAATCACCACTGCCATTTATTAAAGATCACACATGTCATAGGAATTACATTGGACTCTGCAAATTGCAGCCTCATGTTACAGAACCCTGTACAGGACCGTGCAAGAATTGGTAACTGTTATCTTTATTTGCAGGTGAAGAAACTAAGGTCTAAAGAATTAAACAACTTGTCCAAAATCACGCAGGCAATAAATTTTAGACCTGGGTTCAAATTAAGTCAGTCTGGATTTAAAATATCTGGTGACTACTCTTAATAGTATCTGTCTGCCTCGTTACGTATCAGGTTGTTGCTGAAGAACTCTAGATTTAGCACTGAAATCAGTATGGTTTTTAGATAGGAGCTCTTAAATTTTAAATTATGATTCATCTAGGAGCAATCTAGTGCATAGTAGACCTTAAAGAGAGTGACTGTGTCTGTACTGACAAGAAATGTACTAGCGTGGTTTATTTTAGATACACACACACACTGAGCTATTTCTTCTATAGATACAGAACCAAGTTAATGTCACTATTTTAAAAGAGGAGTTAATTTGGTTATGGCAGTCTCTGGCATGCCTCTCTGACTGGTCTGTTCGACTGCTTCTCCTGAGAGCTGGCATCTTCCCAACGGGAAGCTCAAAATTCAGTTACTAAGAATCTGTAGATTACATGTGTTGAAATAATCCCCTGTTTTATCAGTTCCCCAAGAGCCAAGTTATGAATATTGAGTTTCAGTCTCTTAAGAGCTAGTTCTATTGTAATGAGAATGTATCTGTAAAATGTCTGTCATATATTTTAATTTTTAACCTTTTGCTGGAGCCCTGAACCCTTTGCCTCAGAAAATCCTCCAGCAGATGAAGGGGAAAAGGAGGGAGGGCAGTTGTTGAATGCTGAGCCTACTGATGTGCATGGCCATTGAGGATGGTAAGGGAAGATAATAGAGTCCACACCAAAAATAATCCAGAAGTGTGCTCTCAATATATTGTCAAAGCCACGTACTAATGTATCAGTTTTCTAGGTATGCAAATCACTATGTATATAAAGTGAAAAGAAGTAAAGTGATAGAACTGTTCTGAAATTACCTGCACCACTGTCATGTTCTTTACGGAGCAGAGGTGGAAAAGCATTGTGACTTTATTAATTCATTCCCAGTCTGTATTTCTCAATATTAAAGCCTGGACTAAAGCTAAAGAATCAAATTAGATATAAGATACTGCATCATAAAAGCTTAGTTTAAAATATTTCCACAAAACAAAAACTATTAGAGGCAAGAAAAAAGGAAAGAAAATATACACAGACCTATGACTGAGGAAGAAAGATCTGCATAGCATGATTTGTGTGGAGAATGTTTTGTATTTTTATTAAGACTGCACAAGGAAGATTCTGTGCAAATAGTAACACGAGAGACCAGAAGAAGAAGGCTTGGAGCCACAGCGTCATATAATTCCATCTTGCTGGGTTTTCCAGTGGTGTGTCAGATAAGTTTAGAATTGCCAGTAACTGTGTCTGGTTGATTGCTTGCCACTGCAGGTGATTCTCAATTGCTGCGAGGGTGGAACACCCAAGGAGACAATAGAAAATTTGTTGCACAAAGTGACTAAAGAGAAGACCCTGACTGCTGAGAGTTTGGTAAAACTCCTTCAAGCTATGAGGACAACATTCCCAAACTTGAGCCTTCTGCTGGAGAATTTGCAGAAATTAGCCACTTTGCCAAGCACCCCAGGTATTCACTAATTGTTGACTCTCTGAACTGGAACCATTCCTACAGAAATTATCACCTAAAGCATACTTTTGTCTCTGTGCTGAGGACATAAGAGAGTGTTAAGGAATGTCATTACAAATGAACTTGTTTGTCGTTAGGTGCCATCGAGTCACTTCCAGCTCATAGCAAACAAAGCTCAGTACAGTAGACAAAACAGTGCCCAGTCCTACACTGTTCTCACTGTTGAGCCCATCATTATAGCCACTGTATCTGTGGTCTTTTTTTTTTTTCTGACCCTCTGCTTTACCAAGCATTGATGGCCTTCTCCAGGACTAATCTCTCCTGTTAACATGTACGTGAGATCAAGTCTCACCGTCTTTGCTTCAGGGGAGCATTTTGAATCAGCTTCTTCCAAGGTATATATGTTTCTTCTACAGTCAATACCTTTGGCACCAGCAGTCAGGAAATCAAAAGATGAGTTTCATTGGGGAAAATCCTCTTTGAGAACCTCTCCAGAGTGTTAAAGAGCAATGATGTCAGCCTAGACACTAAGGTGTGCCTAATCAAGGCCATGGCCTTCTCAGTTGCTTGCTATGCATCAGAGAGCTGAACAATGACTAAGGTTGACAGAAGAAAAACCAATCCCTTTAAGTTGTAGTGCTAAAAAAGAGCACTGAACATACCATGGACTGCCAAGAGAATAAAGAGGTCTGTTCTGGAGAGAGTGAAGCCAGTTTGTTCATTAGAGACAAGGATTTTGAAACCCAGTCCACATACTTTGGACATGTCACCAGGAGGGGCAAGTCCTTGGAGAAGGACATCATGCTTGAAAGGGCAGAAGGTCAGTACAGGAGAGGAAGACCCTGGATGAGATGGATTGATACAATGACTGTGGCAATGGGGTCAGTTGTGTCAGAGAGGGTGAGGTCGGCTCAGGACAGGACATTCAGAGTCATTATTCATAGAGTCACTATGGGTCGTGGTTGACTTGATGGCACATAACAACAGAACATCAGCCAGGGTATATCTTTGCCAGCCCCATAACATTTTTATCACTTCTTCAGTTTTCCTTATTCATTGCCCAGCTTTAGCATGCATATGTAACAATTGAAAGTACTGTGAGTTGGGTGAGGCACACTTTAGTCCTCAAGGTAGTATCTTGTTTTTTAACACTTTAAAGAGATCTCTTGCAGCAGATTTGTCCAATGCAATATAACTTAATTTCTTGACTGCTACTTCCCGTGGGCATTGGCAGTGAATCTAAGTGAAATGAAGTCCTTGACAACTGTAGTCTTTTCTATGTTTATCATGATATTCCTCAATGATCTTATTGTGATAATTTTTGTTTTTAAGTTGAAGGCTGTAGTCTTTGATCTTCATCAGTGCCTCAAGTCCTCTTCATTTTAAGCAGGCAATGTTGTGCCATCTGCATATCACCGATCTCAGGTTGTTAATGAGTCTTTCATCAATTCTGATGCTGCTGCCTTCTTTATATACTCCAGTAACTTGGATGATTTACTCAGCATACAGATTCAAGAAATAAGTTGAAAGGCTGCAGTTCTGACGCACCTGATTTTAAATCCCCTTGTTCCACCTCTAAGACTATGCACACATTCTACATGAACACAATTACATTTTGGAGTTCTCATTCTTTGCAGTGTTACCTGTAATTTGTTATGATGCGCACAACCAAATGCTTTGTATAGTCAATGAAACACACTTTAGCTTCTCTGTTTTCTAGAGCAAAGTCCAGGTATGTCCTAACAGCCCTTTTGGCCTTTTCTTTCTTTCCTATCTTTTTAATGACATTTTGCTTCACGTAGGATGCCTTGCCACAACGTGTCTGATCTTCTTTGGCTGTTACTATCCATCGCATTGAATATGTTCTCAGGATAGTCTCTAAATTTAGGTGCTACGTATTCAAGTTTGTACTTCAGCTCTCATGAACTTATTTTCCTTTTTTTCAGCTTCAACTTGAACCTGTATATGATTGGTAGTCCTAACCTTGTTCTCGCTGATGAGATTGAGCTGTCTGTCTATTGTCTCTTTCCAGAAAAATAGTCCATCTGCTTTCTCTGTATTCCATCTCAGGAGCTCTGGTGGTGTGATCCGTACAGAGTTGAGCTGTTAATCCAAAGGCACTCCTCTCTAGTGGTTCGAATCCAACAGCAGCTTCACAGGAGAAAGATGGGCCATCTCTTCCTTTGCAATTTACAGTTTCCTCAAACTGCCCAAGGTTCTACTTTGAGTCAGTTTTGACCTGATGGCAATGAGAGGAGATATTCTACCTAGTGAGGTCCATGTGCTTAGTTGCCACTTATAGTGTAAAAAGGTCTTGCAAGAAATAAGTCATTGGTCTTACAAAATGTTACCATGCATTCTCTGACACAGTTCTAACATCAAGACCATGTTTTACAACTGCTGATTTCTCCTCCTCTGTTTTCAACTTTCACATTCTTATCACCAGGAATTATCAATGCATTATGATTACATATTTGATCAATTTCAGTCTGCAGACACTGATAAAAACCTCTTCCATGTGTTCATCTTTGGCTTTAGTCATGGCTGTGTAAACATGAATAGTAGTCATATTTACTAATGGCTATTTTCCTATCACCGACACCACTGCATGACAACCTGACAGATGAGCCATGGAAACAGAAACTAACTGTCACAAATCAGTATTTCGTGAGTGAAGATCCAAAATCTGAGCATTACTCTCCTCTATTAAACCTGCTCCCTCGTGAGGTTCTTACGATTCAGGATTGCTAATGCCTGGCGTTCCCGGGGCTCTCAGGGGTCGTCTTGTGAGTGCCCAGGAGCAAAAGGACTCAGGATTCATCCGTACAGCTCACCGCGGTGACAAGATGTATTCACAAATGCAAGCAGCCACAGCTTCACATTCTTATTTGAGTGCTGGTTGACTCCAGTACGTCCCAGAATTAACCAGCTGTCATGTCCATTCAGCCCGGGGAAAGGAGTCCATATCCCATTCCTTAGAAAGAAAATTCCGTTCTGGCTATTCTTCTCTGTCCCAGAGTATTTGAGACTTAAGGCCATTTTTAGAAAAAGGATATTTAGAAAATGGAAACATTTTCCTCTGGCGTATAAAAGTAATACATTCTTCTACGAATTTGGACAATTCTAAAAATAAAGAAGAAAAACAACCTAAAATCCCATGACTCAAGTATACTAATATTAATATATTGCCATTTTTGATCTATCACATATTTACAATAATGTTGTTGTTGTTAGGTGCCGTCAAGTTGAGTACAGCTTATAGCGACCCTACGAACAAAAGATCTGAACCCTGATCTATCCTTTGCCATCCTGACTCTGCCTGACACACAAGAGCCCACTGCAGCAGTCACTGTGTCAGTCCAGCTGGGTGAGGGTCTTCCTCTCCTTAGCTGACCCTCCACCCTTCCCAGGATCATGTCCTTCTCCAAAAAATAGCTCCTCCTAGCTATGGAGGCAAAGCCTCATCATTCTTCCCTCCAAAGAGCACTCCAGCTGCATCCTCTCCAAGACATATCTGTTTGTTCTCCTGGCTGTCCATGGGATAGTCATTGCTCTTCTCCAACACGACAGCTCATAGGTGTCAATTCTTCTTCAGTCATGCTTATTCATTGTCCAGCTCTCAGAATCATTCCCTCCTTTAATAGAATATTGTTGTCGTGCTTGTTGTTATATACCATCAGGTCAGAACCAACTCGTAGCTGACCCACTAGCAGGTTTTCAGAAGCTATAAATTGTACAAGAGGAGATTGCTGATCTTTCTGTCATACATCTGCTGATGTATTTGAACCACCTGCCTTTGGGTTGGCAGTGCAACTGCTTACATACTAGTCCACCAGAGCTCCCTTAATAGGATTATGAAAAGTTCTTTTAAAATGTGAGCAACAATGTTTCTATTATTCATATGTTTTAAAATATGTTCTGCATATAGATTATCTGGGAGACTGGGCTCTGTGAGGAGAAATGTGGCCTCAGGATTGGAGGAAGACTCATCAACTATCTGCGTTATGCAGATGACACAACCCTGCTTGCTGAAACTGAGGAGGACCTGAAGCGCTTGCTGCAAAGGGCAAGGACTGCAGCCTTCAACATAGATTGAAGCTCAACATCAAGAAAACAAAGATTCTCACCACTGGGCTGATTGGCATCATCTTGATGGATGCTGAAGAGACAGATTATAAACAGCTTTAGTTTGCTTGGCTCCACAATCAATGCTCTTGGCACCAATGGCCAGGAAATTAAAAGATATATTGTGTTAGGAAAGTCTACTCTCAGAGACCTCTCCAAACTATTGAAGAGCAATGATGTAAGTCTGGAGACTAAGGTGCACCTGATAAAGGCAATCACTTGCTGTGCATCAGAGAGCTGTACAATGTCTAGGGATGATGGAAGGAGAATTTATACCTTTGAGCTGTGGTGTTGGAGAAGAGTATTAAATATATCATGGACTGCTAAGAGAACAAATAGGCTTGTTCTGGAGAGGGTTAAACCAGAACCAGGCTGCTTCTTGGAAGCAAGGATTCTGAAGTTTTGTCTGACATACTTTGGACATGTAGCAAGGAGGGACCAGTCCTAAGAGAGGGATGTCATGCTTGGGAGGGTGGAAGGACAGTGCAGGAGAGGAAGACCATCAATGAGATGGATTGATTCGGTGACTGAGGTAATAAGGGTAGGTATGTCAGAGACAATAAGATTGGCACCAGATAGAACAGGATTTAAGACTGTGGTACATAGGGTTTCTATGAGTCATAGGCGACTCGACAGCACATAACAACAACATGTTTTCAAATAGTATAATGTTGGTTTTCTTGTTAGGTGCTGTCGAGTTGCTTGCAACTCATAGTGACCCTCTGTACAACAGCTCTGCACCCTGCTCTATGCTGTACCAACTTACTCTCTCTGGCACATCTACCCCTATTACCCCAGTCAATGAATCAATCCATCTCATTGAGGGTCTTCCTCCCTTATGCTGTCCATCCACTCTCCCAAGCATGGTATCCCTCTCCAAGGACCTGTCCCTCCTTGCAACATGGCCAAAGTATGTCAGACGAAGCTTCAGAATCCTTGTCTCCAAGGAGTACCCTGGTTTCACCCTCTCTGGGATGAACCTGTTTGTTCTCCTAGCAGTCCATGGTATAGTTAATACTCTTCTCCAGCACCGTAACCCAAAGGCATAAATTCTCCTTCCGTCATCCCTAGTCATTGTTCAGCTTTCTGATGCATAGCAAGTATTTGTGAAGACTGTGGCCTGGATCAAGTGTACCTTGGTCTCCAGACTGATATCATTGCTCTTTAGTACTCTGGAAAGGTCCCTGACAGCAAACTTTACCAATAAAATTCATCTTTTGATTTCCTGGCTACTGGTACTGAGAGTGTTGATTGTGGAGCCAAGCAAACTAAAGCTATTAACAACCTCAATTTCTTCACCGTTTTATCATGATCCTGCCATTCGCCCCTGTGGTGAGAAACTTTGTGTGTGTTCTCTCTCTCTCCCCTTCTCCCTCCCTCCCTTCCCTTCCTTCCTTTGTCTTCTTGATATTGGCCTCCAATCCATATTGAAGGCTGCAGCAAACGCTTTAGGTTCTTCTCGGTTTCGGCAAGCAGGGCTGTGTCGTCTGCATAAAGTAGGTTGTTGATGAGTCTTCCTTCAGTCTTGATGCCACATTCCTCCTCATAGAGCCCAGCCTCCCTGATGATCTGTTCTATATATAAATTTAAAAGGTATGGAGATAGGGCGTATCCCTGTCATACACCCTTACCAATTTTGGACCATGCAGTGTCTCCTTGCTCTGTTCTAACGACTGCCTCATGGTCCAAGTATAGGTTCCACATAAGCACAATCAAGTGTTCTGGGATTCCCATTCTTCTCAGAGTCAGCCACAGTTTGTTGTGATCCACACAGACAAATGCCTTTGCATTGTCAATGAAACACAGATGAACATTCCTCTGTTACTCTCTACTTTCAGCCAATATCTAACATTAGCTATAATATCCCTAGTGCCACAGCCTCTTCTAAACCCAGCCTGGACTTCTGGCAGTTCTCTGTTGATGTTCTAAAATAGTACAATATGAATAATATAAACATCCTTGCTCACATTTTAAAAGAGCTCTTCATAATCTTATTTATGGATGGCTTTGTACATTTCCTAATGAGGTTGTATTTGACATATTAATTATTCTCTTACTTGGTTGCAGATAACTTTCATGGCAGGACTATCTGGGTTTGCATCTTTATACCATGATTTGGCTGTGTGATCCTGAGAAAGTGACTTAACTGTACAAATCTCATTTTTCCCTCTGTGAAATAGTACCTGTGGTAATTGTACCTATCACATTTGTTTGTGTGTAGATACTGTGACATAGTAATTGTAAAACACTTAGCACCGTGTCTTACACATGATACCAAAACCACTGCCGTCAAGTCCATTCCAACTCCTGGGGACCCTGCATGACAGTGGAACTGGCCTTTGGGGCTTCTGAGGCTGCAGATCTTTACGGAAGCGAGTGCCCAATCTTTCTCCTGGGGAATATGCTGGTGTGTTGATTCATGGACCTTTTGGCTGGCAGTCACTTTTCAAATGCTCTGCCACCACTGCCCCCTTTGACACTTCATAGGCACTCAGTAATTGGTTATGATCATCTTCATCACAGATTATATAGTGACAAATTTTTAATCATGGGTTTTTACCTTCAAGTAATTTCTTAAGGTTATATTTCCAAAAGTGTAATTGCTGGACCAAAGAGAAGAATAAAATTTTAAGTGTTGGTGAAATACCTGATAGTTTTGCTTTTCTTCTTTTCTTTCAAATAAATATGACCTCTTAAGAGAAGTAGTAATGAGATTGGCTCAGAGGTCATATAAGTGGAAGAACCATGGGTCACTTCACTGCCGTCGCCTTGGCTCTTGCCTGTTTGTGTTTGGAATCTCCACATGGATGCTTTACCTCAGGCATGCTATGCACCACCCTTGAATTTGTAGATCTGAATTGCCTACCCTGTGCTGCCTTCTAATTACTCCCCTATTGAGCAATCACTAGCTCCTACCACTGGGCACTGACTTTCAAAGTGTTAGTGGTCTGTGGTCCGAAGCACCAAGTGATTAAGTGCAGACCAAAGGAGATCAAGCGAGATTGAAACACACGTGCCTGAGGCCCCACGCTGGGTGTCGAACTCCGCACTCTAGGGGGTGCGTAGCCTTGTGCTGATTTCATATCTCCTCTAGTTTGTATCACTCTGTAATCTTCTGTAGGAGAAATTTTTAAGGAAGTGTTGTTTCATCAACATTTTATTAATATCTTTACAGTTCAGACAAACACTGAGGATTATGGGATTGAACTACTGAGACGGTATCACGAAAACCTCTCTGAGCTTTTCACAGACAACCAGATGTTACTAAGGGTGATCTCCCACACGAAGAGGTTAGCCCCTGGAGAAAGAGAGGTAAGAGAAGGAGGGTAGAATGAGAGAGAAGGTGGAAATGTAACCGTACAGTGTGTCTGTTGAACAACGTAGGTCTGAAGGTCACAGATCCACTTATACCCAGATTCGAATTTTTTCTCCCTCTAAACTCAAGTGTGGGGGTTGTCCACTTAAAATGCCTTGTGAGACTAATCGTGGCCATCCACATGAGTAGTTTACCTCTCCAGTAACTTACATTTAAAAGTGAAACATGATAATGTGTGTTTTTTAATTGGGAAGAAGGGTAGCAGTGCTTCTTACCCCCTGTGCGGTTCAAAGGTCAAGTGTCTTTCTATTTTATATAGATAGGCATTCCACACAGCCATGTTCAGAAATGTTCATAGCAGTTCCAGTGTCAGGAGAGAAGTAGAGGTGGACAGTGACTTGATTTCTAAGATAGTAGGTAAGATAGTTATGATTTCTTTAGTAACAAAAAAGACACTCAAAATGAGGAATGAGGAGCATTGTCTCTGTCCTGTGTAAGCTACCTTCCAAATTGAGAGAAATCTTGAGAGAAGATGAAAGGTGTTGAAAAATTCCCTGGAAACCCATTCACTGTAACCCAAGCCCCAGACTCCCAGCGCCTGGTGACTTGACTCATGGCTACAAAGTCCAGACCCTTATGCTTGTGTTTGCGCTTCATCTTGAAGGTCATGGAGAAGCTTGTGAAACGTGACACCAGCCCAGGAGGTCTCAGTTCCCTGATCTCAGCAGTTCTGGAAATGCAGTCTCTCTCTGCGACAGCCATTTGGCAACTGCTGTTGGGAGCTCAGGAGACAAAGACCTGCCCACTGAACCTGCTCCTGGAGGAAATCCGGAGGGAGCCTGGTGCCGACGCGTTCTTCCGGGCAGGTGAGTTACCCGTCCTCGGCCATGGTGCAGCCCACACTAGAGATTATTGTCAGTCTTCCCAGAAAATAGCAAGAGCTCTGTTATGATAGTCATCCACAGCCCTGCCATTAGAGGAGTGGAGTAAGGACTGGCAATTTCCTTCAAGGACACAGAAGTCGGTAAACCTCTTTTCAAAAAACCACACATAGATTACTTACTCTAAGCTTAAATTAGTTATTATAGTTTGATTATAGTACAATTTGCCATTTTTCTGCACTCTCAACTCCAGGCAGGAGATAAGTGAAGTACGTCCTTATTATGAAGAGTTGAGTTGGACAAAAGAAGGGGGGAAAAAAACTCATTTTGCTAATGAGTTTTTCATCCTTTTTTTTCCCCCAGTGACCGCACGAGAAAGTGCTGCCTTAGAAACAATCCTGAGACATAAGAGCTTGGTCCTAGAGGCTATCCAGCCGAAGCTTGACCAGAAGTGCTTCAGCTCAGAGGAGGAACACCTGGCAGACACTGTGAAAGAGGTGTGGTGGGAGTGAGAGCTTCAAAGGTTTATATGAGGTCTTCATTGTTAAGGGAGGAATCAGCATCTCACCCTTGTCCTGTGCTAAGCCAGGCAGCCTATAACTCTTGTAATCCCTTGATCCTTACAGTTCTAAGTGGGAAGTAATACCACTTACATCTTACAGATAGGAAAAGTCAGCTTCCAAGGGATTAAGTAACAGGTCCAAAATGCTCCACTGGTAAGAGATGGCATCAGGATTTGAACCCAGCCTCACCTGACTCGAGCCTATAGCTGCTCCGTTTGTTTAAACCTGAGGGAATCATGATACTACACTTCTAACATGTTCTAAGAAGCAACTTCTTTGAGATGAAGGAAAGTCAAATTGGTCTCCTTACAATGCTTTATTCTGGCTCCTAGAAAGAGCCAAGATAAACATAGATAGAACAAAGTGTTTGCCCATATGGGGTTGCAAATAGTGCCAACTCATTTTCTGTAAGACTTCTCGCAACGTGGCCAGGATCCCAGAAAAACCAGGTGGGAATGGAGTGGCGGGGGGGGGGGAGGGTGAAAAATTCATGGATGGCCAGCCCAAGATCACGTGTGTCTCGAGTGAGAGAGAGTTACAAAGGGACGTAAAATTAAAACACATCCACCTGTAGTGCCTTTTGATCCAAGGAGACATAGAAGACGTGCAGAAGGGCTGGTTCCTAGCTCAGCCCACACAGGTGCCAGCCCCACCTCGGTAGGCTCTCAGATGAGAAGATGACACATTTCTGTGGGGCTTCAGAGGAGAGATTCATCTGCTAGACTCTTCTCTCGCTCACCACATACATCAGAGATGGGGTTTCTGCAGTTGATCAGTTCTCGCCTGGCTAATTAGTCTCATGCCTGCCTCCAGGGACATCAGGTTTATTTAGCTAGACTTGAAAAGAGCAGAAATAAAATATCTTCCAAAATGAAAATTCCATTTGGCCATCTGTGAATGGTTTAGCTTTATTTTCTCAGAGCACTGACTCTTTCTGCTGATAGCTGTAACATTCTGAAAGAGGACGGCTTTGAAATCATATTCTTGGCCTCTTTAAAGCCCTTTTTTGAGTCTTCTTTAGAAAGCGGAGGTTCTTTGTGAAAGAAAATGATGTTTAAAGGGTGCGTCTAAGTGTCTAAAAATATGAAGCCACTGATCATGCAGAATTACTTCCAGGCTTTGAGACAATGATATATTATGAAAAATTATCTGCATCTCTAAGATCGATATCCCAACACCCACATTCTCAAGTTTTCTAAGATTTTACTGTTAAGATCTAGAAGTTACATGAGAGTCTCCTGGTTTCTGAGAAGGTGGTTCTCGTAAAAGGTGCTTGATACTTCCCTTACTTGCCCTGTTGGGTTTTCGTAGTGTTTTGTTGTGTTGTTGTTGTTTTTTTTTTAATTTGATATTTATCTTGACATATGCCTTCTTTAAAATTTTGTTAACTTCCCCTTTCTTTGGAAAACAGAGATGGCCACTACATTTACCTTTAGGGAGCTCTGGTGGCCAAGAAGCCATGGTACAGCCCCCAAGTCACACAGTTTGAAGCCACCAGCCACTCCACAAAAGAAGGATGGCCAATCTCCTCCCATGCTATTAACCACCTCTGGGAAACTGTCGGGGGGGGGGGGGGGGGTGGTGGGTGTCAGCTATGGTTCGGTTCTGACTAAACTGTATACAACAACAACAAACTACATTTACCATGAGGAGAAGTGTTCTTACAGATGAACAGTACCTTCCTGAAATTAGTCTTTGTTTTGTTTTCTTCATTTGAAAGCCACCAAGACACTGCTGATAATAACCCCAAATCCTTGTCTCCTGGTATTCATTTAGATTCTGAGCATTTCCTCTGAGACAGCCAGCCCTGAAGCTTCCCTGAGAGCAATGCTGAGCAGAACCATGGAAAAATCCATCTCAGCCATTGAGATCTGTCATCTCCTATGCAGCGCCCACAAATCGTTTCCAGGCCTACAGCCCGTTATGCAGGAGTTAGCATATGCTGGTAAGAAACAAGTCAGGTGGGGGTTCCTGTCAGAGGCCCAGGTCATTTCTTTAATGAAGAGAGGAAGCAAGCAGTTCATATAAGAGTTCACTGCTACTTTAAATTATTTTCTCATTTTATGTACTCTCAATGCCTAGAGTAGCAGGACCATAGATGTAGAATGGAGCTATTTGTGTTTATGAGAAAGGAAAGATGATGATGATATTACATTCGCGTTTTTGCAGGAACCCACACAGTCTCCAGTCTCTTCTAATAAGTCATGTGCCTTAGAAAAGTTCCAAAACAAAGCAGAACTGTAGTGAATTCCCAGAGCCATGAGCTTTCTCTCCTATGCAGGTTTCCTCACGAAGGAAGAGGGGCAGAAGGAAATGTGGAAGGTGAGCAGTAAAGTTCACCTTGAAGCCAGCAATAAAGCAGATGAGAAGGCAGTTGAGCCAGCTGAAGGAGACAGCCAGTCTGGAAAACAGAACGATGAAGGAGATACCGGATCTCTGGCCGAACAGGAGAAGGACACTTCTGCCTCCCCAGACTCTGCCAAGAAGAACTTCGTCTGCAAGGCTTGTGACAAGAGCTTCCATTTCTACTGCCGCCTCAAGGTGCACATGAAGCGCTGCCGCGTGGCCAAGAGCAGACAGGTGCAGTGTGAGGAGTGCAACGAGACCACGGATTCTAGGAAAGAGCTGGAGAAACACCAGCTGGATGCCCATGGTGCCAGTGCCAGTGCTGGCTCCGGTTCTGGAGAGCCTGACGCCCCCAAGAAGAAGAAGAAGAGGCTCCCAGTGACATGCGACCTCTGTGGCAGAGAATTTGCACATGCCTCAGGTATGTTCCAGAAGGCAGAACAGAGGAGGATGATCCCAGATGTTGTAGCCTGGAGGCCAGCCTTTGCCCCTGCTTGCATGCAATGACTAGGGATTGCATGATCTTGGAAAATAGAATAGGTTTCTACCAAAGCAAGGAAATCTTTTGGGAAGAATATATAGGTTCTAGAATCACCTCTCTGGGCTTGAAATCTTCTCGTCTGTTAAATAGGTACCATACTGCCTATTTTATGGAAGTGTTAGGAGATTTAAAAGAGTTGAACTCCATAGTCCAGTGCCTGGCTTAGAGTTCATACCACTGTGTGGAGCCAGTTCCACTCTAGGGAAGCTCGGTTGGGTTTCCTAGGCTGAGAATCTTTGCAGGAGGCGACCCCCCATCGTTCTTCCACTGAGCAGCTGGTGGATTCAAACCACAGACCTGACACAGTATGTGCTGCACCACCAGGGCTCCTTGGCATAGAGTTATGACTAAGTAAATTGTATTGCTCTCATTCATAAAAATAATAACCCACTTTTTAACACCCAGTTCTGGGGCTTTTATGTCTTTCCTTCTTGGCAATAGAAGAGTTACTAGAAACCCTGGGATTGGGAGTCTCGTGTTATTTTTCCCTTTACCCCAGGTTTTGGATAAGCCTGATGAAACATGAAAGTCAGTTTTGTTTCTCTTTGTCTGGGTGGCTGAATCTTATTTAAGAGAGAGAAGGGACAAGGAAATTAAATCCAGAATCACTTCAGATCCAGCCAGGAGTGGGGCCGAGGTGACGCTAGATGCTTGTTGCTGGGCAGGTAGATGGCATGTCTCCGCAGCGTCAAATCTAGCCTGTCCTGGGTCCTGTGCAGGATGCTGCCTTCCCCTGGAGACCTCGCCCGAAGCCGCGCAGTTGTGTAGCCTCATGCTGGTTCATAGCGTTAATGACTAGTATCTCTTCTGGTCCCTGGCACGGCTTCCATAGGCATGCAGTACCACAAGCTGACAGAGCACTTTGATGAGAAGCCTTTCTCCTGTGAAGAGTGTGGGGCAAAATTCGCGGCCAATTCTACCCTGAAGAATCACCTTCGCCTTCACACCGGGGACCGCCCATTCATGTGCAAGCACTGCCTCATGACCTTCACCCAGGCCTCGGCCCTGGCCTACCACACCAAGAAGAAGCACTCGGAAGGTAAGAAGGGCAGAAGTTGGTTCATCTGCTCTGCAGCAGACTTACTGTGTTAACTGTGTAAGCTGCCTAAAAATCCGTTTGGAATTAGGTGTGACATACATCTCAAGGAGCCCTCATCATGCAGTGGTTAAACACTCAGCTGCTACCCAAAAGGTTGGTAGTTCAAACCTATTCCAGTGACTCTGTGAGGGAAAGGCCAGCAGAGGATCTGAGTTACATTTTAAAAAGATAATTTTGTGTATTCTATGGTTAATAAACTGGAATGAAGCAATATTATATAAATAGGGCGAACAGATAAGAGACCATCACAGTCATTAAATCTAAAGATGGTGCATTGCGTGAGGTGTCTTCTGACCAAAATCTTGTGCATTGCCTGTTGTTTTTATGTAATCTTCCAGAGACAATTGGCTGGACTTGCCATGGGACATGATTATGTTTTAAGAATGCTGTAAATGTTTAGTTCTGGCTCTGACAAGCTCATGTGTATTTCAGGGAAAATGTATGCATGTCAGTACTGCGACGCTGTGTTTGCCCAGTCCATCGAGCTGTCTCGCCATGTGAGGACCCACACCGGGGACAAGCCATATGTCTGCAGGGACTGTGGCAAGGGCTTCCGACAGGCCAACGGCCTCTCTATCCACCTGCACACCTTTCACAGTACGTACTGAGATTTCTTGTCAAACGCTCGGCTTCAGACCTGCCTGGGAGAAAGCTTGGGCCAGTCATTACACGGGTTTCAGGTAGTGATCACTCCCCCAGAGCTGGCCCCCATTCAGTGCCTTCCGCTCCTGTTCTGTGAAACCCTGAGTCCTTCAGGCCTACTTCAAGGAGAATACCATTTGAACGTAGCATTGTTAACACTTAATTCTGTCCAAGCTATTTACTTGCTTTTCTTTTTAGCCACCTGGCACTATTTGGCTGACAGAGGCAAATTCTGCTGAAGGAAGGGAGCCTCGGTGACAGATTAGCTCACAGAGCACGGGGATTCTTCCTGTAGTTCACTGAGCTTCTGTTTTCTCCTCACCTACCTCCCCTTGCTCCATCTTGTAATCATACTGCCTTTCCCCAGAGGGCACTGCTGACACTTTGGAAGTTCATGTATGCCGTGTGAAGTGGTTCGGGTCACTTCCCTGCCTTCTGCCCAGGATTTCCTTCCACACGCTATTGTATTCAGTTAGTAGAATCTGCCTCCATCTTTCTTCCCTCCTCCTAGAATTGATGAGGACAGAGTGACACATTTTTTTCAACACAAACACACACACACAGAGAAAAGAAAAGACATTTCTGTGACTCCTTGTTGCATCATCAGGAAGTCACTGCTGTGCCATTTGCATGGCCACGCCACGTTTTCTTCAGTCTCGCCTACATTGCAGCAGGAGTGTCACCAGCATGGCATGGCGAGGTAGTAAAGAGCTTGGACTCTGAAATCACACAACTCCGGCTTTGAATCCGGGCCCTGCTGAACTTTCCATGAGACCTTAAACAAATGTCTTTACTTTGGGGAGTCTCGTGCCCCTTGTAAACTGGAGAAAATAAAACTACCCACCACCTTGGGAAGTTGTGAGAGTGAAATGAGATGTCACACGGAAAGCACAGAGCTCCCTTCCTGACACATAGAAATTGCTCAGTAAATGCCAGTTATTATTAGTGCTGGTGACAAGAGCAACTCTCTCAGGTACCATTTATCACCATCAAAGCTTGTCTTTTGCGTGCCATGCGCCTGTGCGCCTGTATTCCTCTTCCTGTGTAGCTCTTGGCAAATACAGTGTGTCACAAACATGTGCCTTATGTAAACACTTCAAGTGTGTTGTCAGCCAGCCAGCAGGGACTTTGCTCGAGTTCCTGTGTGCCCAGCATGTAGCTGGACACTGGAGGAGGCACAAGGAATACAAAGTACGACCTCTGCACACCAGAGTTTACAAGCCGATACGAAAAATCCAACTGCAGGAGACTTCCAGTTTAGTGATATTTGGACCGAGTTCAAACCTGTAATTTTGATGTCTTACAACATCTTTCAAGAGGCATCTGCTTTAGTCTTCTTTTCTAAGTATCATTACCTGCAGGTCAGAAAAAAAGAAAGACATGATTAATTCCCAGAAAGGAGAAGGACCCAAAATACTTGGCCGTGCTCCTCAGGCAGACGATCTGAGGCAGGCTCCTGCCTCTTCCTTACCCTCCTTTGCCTGTTTCGTTGGAATACATCATTGCTTATGGAAAATGGCTTCAAAGTGTCTTAAAAGATAGCTTAAAACTGAGATTTTTTACGAGCTGGGGTCCACAGGGAAACCAGTTAATAATATCGAATGCTGCTGCATGGCAGAATTCTTGAGCTAATCTGAATCGATGCACAAATAAGATTGGCTTGTGGGCTGGGCCTTTCTCATGGGCAAAGGATTTTATAATTATAACATCTAGCTTTTCCTTGCTTTAAGAAAAAGAGTGGCATTTCCTACCCCATGGGTGGCATATATATCCTTCATCCATGCCGGTTCTTATTTGAGATCCCACTCGAGAGATGGCATCGTTCAGTTGGACACATAGCTGGCCTTTGGAGGAAGAGCCGGTATTATTAGCAGGGCAGCCATTCTCTAGTTTTAAAATCAGCCAAGGCACTAACTTAACTCCCTAAATCTTGATTGTCCTAATCTCTGAAATAGAGATGATAATAGAAGTATGCATCGGGCTCCTGGAAGGATTAATGAGTTAAGATGTGTAAAGCACTTGGAGCAGTGCCTGTCATACAGCACTCAAGCATATTATCTGTGAACGTGTTGGTTTTGTTGTTGATCGGAAGTGGGGATCTGAGATGCAGCCCTCCTGTTGTACTGCTGACAATAGAGGAAAAGGTGGACCTCCAGGGAATTGACAGAAAGCTCTGTAGCGAATTGGAAAACCCAAAACTGCCCACTGCTAGCAGAGAATAGTAAGGGTGAGACTCTCTAGAGAGTAATGAAATAGAATTCCACTTGTGAGATGTAAAACGAAGAGTTGACATGAGCTTATTTGATGCTGTGGAGGTTGTAAGTCCAGAAGCTTCAGAGGCTGCTGCACTTCCGGCATGAAGGCAGCTGGGTAGGCAGTTTAGCCCCTCACTGACTTCTGGTCCCTGGAGCCCGTGACTGTGCTCGGCATCTGAACAGGGCTTTCCGTGTGTAGCTGTGCAGCGTAACCAGCGCTCACCTCTCTGAGTGCAGCCCGTGATGGTTTGTCTTCTCCCCCTCTTCCTCTTGTGGATTCAGACATAGAAGATCCCTATGATTGCAAGAAATGCAGGATGAGTTTCCCCACTCTCCAGGACCACCGGAAGCACATCCACGAGGTGCACTCCAAGGAGTACCACCCCTGCCCCACGTGCGGGAAGATCTTCAGCGCGCCCTCCATGCTGGAGCGCCACATGGTGACTCATGTTGGTGGGAAGCCCTTCAGCTGCGGGATCTGCAACAAGGCCTACCAGGTGACCCCAGTTCTTGTGGAGGTGTCCCTCCAGTCCACCACCTGCACTCCATTTGTGCATCCTTGATTCCCCTGTCTGCCTTATGGGTTAGATCTTATCTCCAGAATAGGCCAGTGTGGCTTCTTCTCATGAAGAGTGCAGTTTGAAAATATTGTAATTCTCTAAGGAAGCCTGGCCGGAGGGGTGTGGTGCAGCTGTAATTGGAGCAGAGAGTTCTTACACCCCCTGCTCTCCAGATGTCAGCCTTGTTGTGAACCGAGCTCGGCCTCTCCCCTTGGAGCTTTGCATTCTGTGAGACCTGTTGGCCTGTGTGTCAGAGGACACAAGAATGACAATGGGGATCATAGCACTTCCTGGAATTACCTTGTTTAGTGCAATGATTGCTCTTTTTAGCTCCTGGAAAATGGTTCTGCTTTTCCACCGTAGACTTTGGCATATAATTAAAGGGAAAACTCCATATTGAGCTACAAAGAAACTCCATCTATCAGACACACTAAAAACTGCAAAGGAAAGAAATGATCCTTGTTGGTGACTAGGTTTATAGAGAGAAGCACAGAGACTAATTTGAACTCAACAGGAAGTGGGAACTAGCCATGTGAAGCTTTGTGCTATAAACATTAGTGTTACAGAGTAGATAGAACCTGGCCTTGACCTCTAGGAAACTGTGGAATCTTCCAAACATCCCAGTGTGGCTGTGAACCTGAGAGGGAGGGGAGCGCGTGCTTACAGAGCAGGGACAACACAGAACCCCTTTACAGCAGTTTGCTCTGTTCTGTTCCTGAGCTTCCTTGAAACAGAAAGGCTCAGTGCTAAAGAGCACAGATGCTTAAGTCAGAGACCAGAACTTGAATCCTGGCCCGACTTTCACTCCCTGTGTCACCTGGGCAGGTCTTTTAACCCTTCTATGCCTTAGCTTCTGCCTCAGTGGAAAGATCATAGCACCTACCTCGTGGAAGTTTGAATCCACTAGCTACTAAGCAGGTCTAAGACGGGCAGTCTCCTCCCATGTGATTCACCGCCTCTGAAAACCCACTGGAGGGTCAGCTGTGAGTCGGTTCTGACTTAACGATAACATACCCACCGCCCATGTACAGTTGCTTTGAGAAATGAGTTTAAGACAAAATCAGCTGAGCACTGCACTATGCTTACGGCCTTCTAGTCAATTCCATCTTCTAGCATCCCTCCAGGACAGAGGGGAGTTGCCCCACCAGGTCTCCGAGGCTGTGCGTCTCTCCAGAAGCACCCCATGGCATCCTTCTCCTGCCGAGTGGTGGATTCTTCAGCTGCCTGCCTTTTGCTTATAGCAGCTGAGACCATGAACTACTCCATCACCCGAGTTCCCTAAACCTTGCCCTGTGGTAGCCTCCTAAGTCACAGTTGCCTTGTCCTCCCAAACACTAGCACTCAGTTTGGTCTGTAAGAATATGAATCTAGATCCATAACCTTATTCTAGAACATTTTTCTCTCTCTCTCATGAAGAACTCCTGAACTCTCCAGCTTTCTGGAACATTCTAAAACTCTAACCTTTGCCAAACACCTTGCAGCAATTGTCTGGTTTGTGGTACCACAACCGGACCCACCACCCTGACGTCTTTGCTGCGCAGAACCATCGATCTTCCAAGTTCTCATCGCTCCAGTGTAGCTCCTGTGACAAGACCTTTCCCAACACCATTGAACACAAGAAGCACATCAAAGCAGAGCACACAGGTGAGGTCTGGGGACCATGGGCAGGGAGTGTGCACTGATGCATGTGAATGGCTTGATTATGTGGCATCCCTAGGCCTCTCTAAGAATCCCAATTTGCACTGCGATCACGTGGTATTCTGTGGTAATTACCTTTGTTTTACCCAGCGCACCTGACGGGTGCAGCACCAGTCGGCAGTCAGAGTAGCTGGCGTGCCAGTGGCTCCCAAACCTTGTAACCTCAAGCAGTGTGAGCTCCTGCCCGCCACTGAGTGTGACCCAGTCACTATGCAGGATGTCAGCTCTACACAGGATGTGAGCTCTGGTGGCAGACTGGCCCAGGTGGAAATCCTGATTCTAGCCCCTACTTGCTTGCATGATCCTGGCAAGTGACTTCTGTTTCCTGGGTGGAATAGGAGTTAGGATTATGCACTGTGCAGGCTATTTTTGGTATAAAAACAACAGCTGGCAGTTACAGAGCATTTCCTAAGGTACCGTGCTCTTCACAACTGTATTTGAATCCAGTCAGTCTGGACCCAGATCTAGGTCTGTCTACCGTTGAAGAACACGAAGAGATCTTGGCCACAGGGGTAAACGCTTGCTGAGTATTCGCCACCAGCCCTGCCTCCCAGCCTGATTGCTCTCCACCTTCACAGACCCATTCTCTTTGTTCTTTCCTACAACCCTTCTCCTGTGTGCTTCACAGATGTGAAGTTCCATGAATGTGACAAGTGCAAAGAGCTCTTCCCGACGCCAGCTTTGCTGCAGGTGCACATCAAGTGCCAGCATTCAGGTCAGTGGCCGCCTTCCAGGATGCGCCTGAGCTGCCTGGAGAAGAATCTCACCACCACTCTTACCTCCAACCTGGCCGAGTGGCCTAAGTAGCTTGAGCCTCAGATACTCTTCATATGTTGTCCAAAGAGTGAGGGCAGCATGGGGACACTGCTTCTCAGTTGAGAAGTACTTCTCAGTACTCAGATGAGTACTGACTCATCAAGGGGGAGCTGTTCTTATCAACAATATCCACAGCATAAAACTCTATCCCACAGCTACTTCTGCTAGATTTACCACCAACCAAGAGCTCTCACTGCTCTTACTACTGGATCTGAAATTCAGTGCAAAGTCCACACAGCTCTTACAGAAGCATCGTCATGATGAAGGGTTTACTAGGGCAGTTGGCAGGTTGTGACTTAGATTGGCATCAGGGAACAATTCCGCCATCAGGACAGCTTCTCAGACATGCTCACAGGCCCTTCAACCTTCAGATTTGCAGCTTTAGGTCATTATTACGAAACTTTCTTGGTCTTGCCATTCGTAGACTAGTCCTTCCCCCCGCCCTCCCCAGTCGTCCAGCTGTCTTGAGCAAAGGCCCTGGCTCTGGCTCTGTGGGGAAGCAGTCCCAAGTCGGTTCTGTCTCACACTGATCGATGGTTCTCTACTGCTGCTGCTCTCATGAATGCTCCTGTCTGACTGGTGAAGTAATTTCTAGCCCCAAAGGGCGTTAACTACACTCTCTGCCTCTGCTGCTTCTTTGTTGAGAGTGAGATTTCCAATTTCTATCATTGAACCTGCTCAACTTAAACCTGGCAGAATGGCAAAACTGGCCAATCATTTCCTCACAGATAAACTGTGTACCCAGTTTGCATGTTCCTGCACATCCATAAAATGGGCACAGTCCCAGACTATTTGACAGTAACTATGAGAACAAAACAACATGTCATTAAGGCCACAAAAAGTAATTAGGGCCAGGCATTTGAAGCCTTCTTCAGTATAATATGTTATTATCATTACTGCTGTATTTTGTTCTTGTTTTGGTTTTGGTTTTTTTGTACTGTCGAATTGGATCTGACTGGCATAGGAGGAGATTGCCCCTCCTTCTCCAGCAGAGCATCCAGAGGATTCGAACCATGATCCTTCAGGATTGCAGTGCTCTCAGAACTCCCTTATTACTCCTATATTTAAGGAGCCCCGAGAGCACAATGTTTAAGTACTTAGGCTACCTACTGAAAAGTTGACAGTTCAAATCCACCAGCCAGACCATGAGAGAAAGGTGTGAAAATGCCACTTAAAAGAATGAACCCTTTTCCATGAACTGTTAAAAAAGAAAAATTGTTGCCAATGGTACTATGTTTTCTTATAAGAATTTGTAGGAATTCTCAGAGTTATTTTAGGCTCAATTTGCATAGATTTTTATCATGTCACTCTCTCTTGTATGCATACATAAAAAAAAGACAACGTAAGAAAGCAAATTGATACCATGAGATTCCAGCTTCTCAGTAACTTTCCATTCCGGTTGCCAACCTGCACACTTTTCCACAGTGTTCTCCACACCGTGGAGGACATTGGTGATGGATACAAGTAAAAAACTGTGTCAAAGAAATAGAGGCCATTGGCTTTAGTTTCTTGCAGGTTATGGGGAACGATCTACTTTTGATTCCCTTTGGGGATGAGACATATTGGTTCATCACTCCCTCCACCCACTTTGTTCCTCTGAATTGAAAATGTCCAGCACGCCCATCTCAGGGATTTTCTCCCAAACCAAGGACACTCTGCTACTATGGGTGTCCGTCCATGTGCAGATATTGACAGTTACTGCTGGCACACAGCAGCCATAAGATGCCATCGATCCCACTTCAGACATGTTAAAATACATTTAGAATTGATGAGATATAATATTGTCAGCACCATTATCTGCAGTTGAACGAAAGACTTTAACAGAGGCAGATTTCGCCTGAATCTAATGCTAATGAGGTGACAGCTTGGGGCCCTTTACTGGTGTGGGGTCCTGTCAAGGCTCTGCACCTGATTCTGTGTTACTTTCCTCAGGAAGGACCACATATGTCATATGAGCTTCAGACCCCACAAAACCTGGCTCTGCCTGTGCACTCCATTCTCGCTCCTTCCCCTCACCTCCCCTTTACCTCCCCCTGCCCTTGCTTTCCCCTATCAGTCCACCCACAACCTGCCCCCTCTGTCTGTCCCTCCAGGGTCCCAGCCGTTCAGGTGCTTGTACTGCACGGCCACCTTCCGCTTCCCTGGGGCCCTGCAGCACCACGTCACCACTGAGCACTTCAAGCAGTCAGAGAACACCTTCCCCTGTGAGCTCTGTGGGGAGCTCTTCACCGCCCAGACCCAGCTTGATAGTCACTTGGAATCTGAACACCCAAAGGCGGTGGGCTCCGAAGCCCAGGCAGCAGCCTCACAGGTGGTGCAGGTGAGTGTGAGACCATCCGGTACCCCGAGTACTGACACAGGCTTCTCGAGAGCTCCCGCTCCGTGCCGGCACCCAAGCTTTCTCTTTGGGGGCCTTCTGGAACATGTGTTCATGGCAGAGACATCGCCTCAAGGAGTCTCCTTGGACTTGTTACCAAAACAACAGAAAATTCTAGGGATTTGGTGACCATGTGTGAAATGACCCCTAGGTAGAGGGACCCAGAATTAAGAACTTTGAAAAATGGGAGAACCCTGATATTTTCTCTCCCATTCCATACCCTTCTTCAGCCTCTGGGAATCATTGTGGGGGATGTGTGAGTTGGAGGAGAGTAGATGAGCTCTTGGTTGGGTAAAAAACACTGTTAGTTACAGCGCTGTGTGGGCCTCTGGGTTGGACACCGTACACCCTTGGACATGCCTGGGCCTCTCGCTTTTGCTGGTGAAAAGCTCACGTCCTCTTAATGTCTTCAGGCAAAACTTAACTCAGGCTCTGTTAGAACACTCTTCTGTCTTCTCCAGGAAAAAAGCTCAGTTCTCCCTCTCATAAGTAATTTGTGGTGAGTTGGAGGGAAGCTGTAAACTGTCCTGAGCCTTTCTTCAGTTGGTCTATCCCATTGTTCCGTTCTGTCGCTGTCTTTGATAAGTCCTGCTTTGTGGGGAGTGGAGTGGAAGTCATCTGGGAGAGCTCCAGGTGACCCTCCCACTGCCCTATCATCCAGAGCAACTCTGCTTTTATCTCCCTTACATGTCACAGTTATTTGGGGGGATGGGGAAGATGGAGGGATTTCATTGCTTAAAGAAAAAAGGGAAACAAAAAATAGTTTGAAAACTATTGACCCAGATAATTTTTGACTGAACACCCCAGTTGATCCGTTTGCAGTCACAGCACACAGAATAGCTGCCCATCTGCCCACTTAAGTCTAGTGCCCCGCTCTTCACTCCCGCTCGCTCTCCTGGGGCGTGAGCATGAAGCTGCCCTGGAGCCCGGGAGTGAGAAGCATCAGCTTGGAGGTTCAGGCAGGAGCCCAGAATAGTTCCTGCTGAGAGGAGAAGGTCAGATCAACAGATGAAATCAATTTGGGAGGACCATGTCTTGACTGGCGGAAAGAAGGACTTCCTGCCCTACCAGCCGAGTGCTCTGGGTGGACGTGTTGCTAGAAGTCATAGCTTGTCCACCCCTCCTCCTGAGCTTAATAGCTGGGCAAGGACCAATCCTGGCTTCACTAGCAGTTGAGAGGTGCTGTCCTAGGCAAGGGTTCCAGAAAAACCATTCCCATTTCCGTGGATCCTAACTTGAGACCAGCCGCCCTCAATAGCATTCCTCCCACGTGGCTGTTAGTGCTGCGGTGTAATCCTCAAGAAGCGAAGGCCCAACATGAGAAGCCTGAGCCCGTGTTCACTGGTGTGTAATCATAGAGCCCAGGCACCCCGAGACGGCGTACTGAGCTAAATGATAGCAATTTAGCGCCCAGAGTTATTTAAATTGTTTGCCTGCCTTCTCTTTTGCATCACTGGTGTGTTAGACTTGCCTCTTCCCATTAGGCACATGTAATTGCTCTCCTCAGGTGCAAACCTAAATATCATCATTACAGCATGAGATGAAAACCATGTAAATTCTGGGGAGCTGACTGTGGACACTGCCCACTGCAGCTGCGTGGTCTTTCCCTTCCAGGTGATTCAAACTCCGGAGCCGGGGGCCCCGGCGGAACAGCTCATCACGCTGGAGGAGACCCAGCTCACGGGCTCTGAAGTGTTTGTGACGTTGCCAGATTCCCAGACAGCTCAGACCAGCTCTGAGCTCGTGGCAGTGACTGTGGAGGATTTGCTGGACGGAACCGTGACCCTGATCTATGGCGAGGCAAAGTGAATGACTGTTCACCCGCCCAGAGAGGCCCTGGGGTGCACAGGAACGCTCTGCAGCTTCTTCCTGGCCCTCTGCCCCAGCTGTCCTGTGTGGTGAGCATCAGCTAAAATGGCCTCGCTTGGAAACTAGAAACTTTGATGTTCTCACTGGACCAACAGTGTTTGTGTCATCGACACCAACACCACTGTCCTCTGTCACAGGCAGGAGGGTGGCCTGGCTTCTTCCTCACAAGTCTGCTGCTTTGGTCTCTGTCATTGTCTGTCCCCGGATGAACTGTCCCTTCTGAAATGGTGGCTGGCAGAGTGGTAAGGTAGGAGCTGGTGGCCAAGGCAGCAGGGAACGCAGCGTGCTGGGGGCCCATCCTGTGCAGCATGGCAGCCAGGCGTGGTCTGGCCCATAGCGCGGGCTGCAGGCACCTTCTGGTCCTGTGTAAACAGTGCAGAAGACCCAGCAGATCCTCCAGGAACCCAGCCTTGAGCACACTTGGCCCTTCCTCATTTCTGCCTGTGTCCCCTCTTCATCCAGTCCTTGTGCCCAGCACCCCTCGAGGTGGCAATGGGACAGGTAGCAACATGTTAACAGTATAGAAAGCCCACATTTCCATGCCCAATCCAATGCCAGTGTTGTCAGCCCTGCCCAGATCAAAGCCTCAGGAGAGATTCTGCTGGAAGCGTTTAATGCAAGGCTAGCCAGCTGCAGAGACGGCCTTTCCAGGCCGTTCTTCCAAATGATCAGTACCTGAGGGCTCCCTCCCACAGCCGGAGCTCCGCCTCACCTGGAAGCCTGGCCTGGTCCTCTGGAGCAGCTAGTGTAGCCAATGACCTCCGTCCAGACACGTGCTTCTGTCTGCGTGTGGCATAGCTGCCATGATGGCCCCCAGGACCCACCCCTGCCGTGTGGGCCCCCAGCCTGTGGGTGGTGGCTGATGTGTTTCTTCCAGGGCACCACTGTGACCGCCAGCCGGTGATCCTTAGGAGTCAGAACTTTCACAAAGCTTTTTCTCTTTAGTTCCTAAAATATAATATGATAATTAATGGTTTGTGGGATCCATTATGAAGTGCAATTAGATGGATGTAGGTTCCTGCCGGGCAGAGGGAATGACTAGCATTTATCTTCCTTTCCTTGATGCCATAAGGTTCAAGCTTGCTAGTACGGTGTTTACACATGAAGCAGGGCTCCTTGCCACGCTGTTGGCTTGACCGAGGGGTAGTGCCCAATTTAATCACACACCCTCAGGCTGCTAGGAAAAAAGAGACTAACCTTTCTTCCCAAGCCTATCCCAAATGAATGGCTGAGTACAAACAGGTGGAGGTTGGTCTGGGCTCTGGTCAGAGCCTTTAATGCTGCCATACAGCTCACACACTGCTGGCAGGGCAGAGCATGGAGCCATAACCCTGAGCAGTCAGCTTGCTGGCTGGCTGGTCACCTGTTTGGCCGCAGGCAGCCCTGGACCCAGCATCCTCTTCGAGGTCCCTTGGCCAACAAGCCCCTGTCCCTGCTCCTGCCTGAGGTGGTGTCCTCATTCTGGTATGCACATCAAGCCTGTCAGGAGCAGGATCTCCCCATTACAGAGCAAATGAAGTTCTCAAAAAAAGAGTCAGCCTCGAAAGCTGAAAACTGACCAGAAGATGGTGCTCAAACCTTTAGGACTTCGCCTCCACACTAAGACCTCTCCGGCTCTGGCTTGTCGGTCTCTGTCTTCTTGTTTCTCAGCGTTGTGGACTGTCAGACCAGGAGAGCTTTTGATGGGCAAGGGGTGAAAGGGTCCCGAATCACCTGTTAGTGACAGATAATCCCACTGAGAGACAGTGGAGTGGATCTTGCTTACAGATCCAGCATATAAGAACACAGGGACCCAAAAGCCATATGTCAGTGGTTTCAAACTGCTGTGAATGCCACTAAATTTGTCTTCCTGCCAAGAAACAAAAGAAATAAAAATGAATTACAGAGGGATTTTTAAAAGAAAGTGATTTTGAAAAGCCTCCTGAATAGAGAACACTGTGCATGTTAAACGCAAGCTGCAGATCCTTTCAAGCAAGGGAAACCTCCTTTGGGTTTTGGACAGAGACCCACACTGTACTGGGACTTCTTTTCAGGCTCGAAGGCTGCAGTGTGGAGAGCCAACGGGAAAGCCGGGCTAACTGGGGGGTGGCACTCGGTCAGAGCACAGTCCAGGGCTGGTTTGCTGTTCTCGGCAAGAATGAGTTAAGGTCCATCTTGAATTTAATCGGCTCCAAATGAGCCTCTTGTAGAGGCTACATTTGCTGACTGTGATTGTACAATGTTTGCTCCCCAGAGAAACCCAGGAATGGATTTTATTGTAGGAAGACTTTTTTCAACTCTGCTTGGCCATTTTCCTTTCTTTTTTTTTCCCTCCCACTTCTGCCCAAGAGACTTTCTGAATTGCTGCCACCGAGGACATTGTTAACGTTATTCCACCTCATTTGCTGTTGTGATGACAGTGGCACTCCGCTTGCCTCATTCCCATGAGGCGCTGTCCTCCTGCCCTCTGGGTGGAAGGCTGGTATTTGCTGTGGCGCAGAGTCTCTGGGCTTCTGGGGAACCTGTGGGTTTGTTCAGTGAGGCCCAGACTACCTCGCTCCCACACCTCATCAACCAGCTGGTGAAGAGGGAAAGGCTGTCAGCTTCCAAGCTGGAGTCTAATTCCAGGGGGGATAATGGGATCAATTATGGAACAGGATTTGCCCATCACAGGTAAGTGAGACAGCACACAGACTATTCGAAAGCAAGGATTAGACGAGGTGCCTGCTGTCTGAGCCTCGAGCAGGCCCTGAGACCGGAGGGGCAGCATGGAGGCCAGGACAAAGGGCTTTATTTGTTTACTTTTCTAAGCCGGTCTCTTCTGTCTTAGAAACATCATATTTGGAAAATGAGGAGTCCAGCAGGTTAGCAGTGTGAATACTGGGATCCTGTGGAAATTCAGGTGCTCTCAGAGGAAGCTTGCTACCCGGCCTTCTGTACTGCTCCCAGAAAGTACAGCACCCTCACCACTCGGCAGGGAGCGCTGGCAGGCTTAGCTGGAGGCTAAGGGTAGACCGGTAGGGCAGACACGCTGGCAAGGCCTGTCCAGCTCTGTGGTCTAAACCAGGTCTAACCCCAGGAGCGAGGAGGAAGATGAGAGGGGTCCTCAGACTATCTCTCTTACTCTGAGTCTGTTAATGTTGCCTTCCCCACTAGCTGAGGACATGCTGATGGGAAGGGAGGGGTGTGTCCTTGAATTCTGTTTTTGCCATTTACTTCTATGAGAACCATGGGTTGGCCAAGGAATGGAGGGAACAGCTAACCTTATACACAGGGGGTGGCTGGTTCTAGGGAGGAAGGGAGTGTTTCTGTTAGATATGGGCCTCAAAGTGGAAGGAACAGTGACAGAGAACCTGCCAAGACACTTTAATCAACCCTCCCAAGGAAGACGCTGTGGCCCCAGCTTCACTGTGCTTGGCCCAGTGTGTCCCAGGGACTCATGGGAAGACAGTACAAAATGGAAATTAAAAGAAAGAAAAAAATTGAGGTTTGAGGCAGTGTCAGAGGAAGTTGATAATTATTTTGTTGCCATGGAAAACCTTGGGATGGTAGGACTTGGGCCAAAAGCTCAGACGGAACTCAGAAAGTGGCTACACCTACGACTTGGCCTGTGAGGGGGAGAAAAGCTGTCTGCGCCTTCAGGACTACATTGTTAAGGAAATAACTCATTCTCTAGGCCAATTTAAATCCCTTCCAAATGATGACTTCCTTTATCAAGGCCGGCAGCGCCTGCTACCGCCCCTGGTGGGGACAGCTCGACAGTGCGGGGGGCTGTGTCAGTTTCATTGCAAACCGTTATTCCTGTTCAGCTTGTACTAATCTATGTAAATAAAAGACATACTTGGAAAAATCCCTCTGCATGAGTTTCCAGTGGACTGTGATGTCATAGGCCTGTTTCCTCTAGTTCTGGGCAACAGTCAGGTGGGGTGCACTTGAAAGGCTTGGTTTCGAGGGAGTTCTGGGGGCCTGGTGATAAGGAGCTGTGCTTCCAACCCGAAGACATGAGGTTCAAGTCCAGCAGCTGCTCTGCAGGAGAAAGGTGGAGCAATTACTGCCTCTGAAAACCCTCTGGAGGGTCAGGTATTTGACACACTTAACAACAACAACTGGATCCTTCAGAGCATGTACCCATGGGAGTGGTTTCCTGCCTGGGGAGTGTGCTTTCCTAAACCTTCTTTCCCAGGGAACAATGAGGTGGGAAGGGGGCAGCATTTAAGAGCTCAGGCTTTTCAGTCTGACCTAGCTACATCTAAGTTTTTGACCTTGAATGCGGTACTTAAGCCCCTTCCCCAACACCTACCTACACAACAGGGACAATTTTTGCACTTAGAGTTGTAGTATAGACTATAGAATCTAGCATAGAAAAGGTTAGTTGTTAGGAGTAAAGTCCTTCAGGTGCAGGTCAGCCGTTCCCCACCTTTTCCAGCACTGAGAAGAATGTTCATGCTTACACCTGCCAGTGTGTCTTTCCCATGTCTTTATATGTCACCTTCCTGTGTTTTCATCCTCTCCTGTCTAAGTCCTTCTGCTGTAACACCGCCCCTTTTCATTTATCTGTTGCATCTCAGCTGCTCCCAGAGCACAAAGTGCTGAGCAGATAACTCATAAAATAAGCAGAAACCTTTCGCAGCGAACAGCTGAAAATGTCACAATGCTGGGAGCCAACAAGGAAACTAGAGAAGGAGACACGCAGAGAGCATATACATAATTTCTGCAGAAAGGAGACAAGGGGAGGCTCGTCACATCAGGCAGCCCTCAAAGCCTGGGTCAGCCCGGAGGCTCAGGGGTATGTGGGGAGTGGGAGAAAGTGACCCCCGACAGTTCTAAGGTGTTGTTGTTGTTGTTATGTGCCGTCGAGTCGCCTGCGACTCATAGCGACC